AGCCCTGGTGTCATCGCCCTCCCTGCCCACCTGGGATCGTGTCCAACCATCCCCTCCGGGCCCTTTCCCACCTTCCCAGCCCTTTTCCTGCCCCAAAACCCGGGGATGTCGTGACCCCAAAGAGCTCTTGGGCTTGTCGTGACCCCAAAGGGCTCTTGGGGTTGTCGTGACCCCAAAGGGCTCTTGGGGTTGTCGTGACCCCAAAGGGCTCTTGGGGTCGTTGGGACCCCAAAGGGCTCTTGGGGTTGTTGGGACCCCAAAGGGCTCTTGGGCTTGTCGTGACCCCAAAGGGTTCTTGGGGTCATTGGGACCCCAAAGGGCTCTTGGGGTTGTCGTGACCCCAAAGGGCTCTTGGGCTTGTTGGGACCCCAAAGGGCTCTTGGGCTTGTCGTGACCCCAAAGGGTTCTTGGGGTCGTTGGGACCCCAAAGGGCGCTTGGGGTCGTTGCCCCTCACCCCGATGGATCCCACGCCCTCATCCCACAGATCCAGCCCATCCCAGACCCACCCTGGGGGGGAGAAACTTCCCAGGGGATGTCCCACTGCTTGTGAGAGAGGATTTGGGTCCCCTCACCCCACGAGGAGTTCTGGGCAAACGCAACAACCCCACGGCTCAACCGGCCACGGGAAGAGCTGCAGCTCGGCTCGGAAGGGTGGGAAAAGGGGAACGAGGCGGAGGGGGGAATTCCTCCCCCAAAGAAATAAAATGCCAAGCTGGAGAAAATAGCTTCTACCTGAGAGGCCGGTGATGTCCATCTTTGGCAAGTGCCGGGCTTTCAGCACCACCACGGTCATCCTCTGCGCCACGGGCTGGTAGGACAGCGAGACCTGCAGCTCCCCCCGGCTCAGGCACTTCTGGGAAACACGGATTTGGGGGTGGGAACACGAGGGATTCGTCAGGAAAAAGGCGGCTTTGGGGCCGGGGAGGTCAAATTCACCTACCGGGGGGTTTGGGTTTGGGTTTGGGGGGTCGGGGAGGTGAAATCCCACTGGATTTGGGGAGTGAGGGAGTTTATAAACTCAAATCCCACTGGATTTGGGGAGTGAGGGTTTGTAAACTCAAATCCCACTGGATTTGGGGAGTGAGGGGTTTATAAACTCAAATCCCACTGGATTTTGGGAGTGAGGGGTTTAGAAACTCAAATCCCACTGGATTTGGGTTTGGGAGCTCAAATTCCAATGGATTTTGGGTCTGGGGGAGTTTGGGAGCTCAAATCCCACTGGATTTGGGGAGTGAGGGGTTTATAAACTCTAATTCCCCTACTGGGGTTTGGGTTTGGGGGGTTGGGAAGGTGAAATCCCACTGGATTTTGGGAGTGAGGGGTTTATAAACTCAAATCCCACTGGATTTTGGGAGTGAGGGGTTTAGAAACTCAAATCCCACTGGATTTTGGGTTTGGGAGCTCAAATTCCAATGGATTTTGGGTCTGGGGGAGTTTGGGAGCTCAAATCCCACTGGATTTGGGTTTGGGAGCTGAAATGCCACTGGATTTTGGGAGTGAGGGGTTTATAAACTCTTAATTCCCCTACTGGGTTTTGGGTCTGGGGAGGTTGGGGAGGTCAAATCCCACTGGATTTTGGGTCAGGAGTGGTTTAGGAGCTGAAATCCCACTGGATTTTGGGAGTGAGGGGTTTAGAAACCCTAATTCCCCTACTGGGGTTTGGGGGGGTCAGGGAGGTGAAATCCCACTGGATTTTGGGAGTGAGAGGTTTATAAACTCAAATCCCACTGGATTTGGGATTTGGGAACTCAAATCCCACTGGATTTTGGGAGTGAGGAATTATAAACTCAAATCCCACTGGATTTTGGGTCTGGGGGCATTTAGGAGCTCAAATCCCAACCCCTGACTCCAAAGTAAACGGATTTTTGATCACTAATAAATGTTAATCTGCCTCCTTGTTCAAATCTATTTTCATTTAAATCTACTTTCCTCCTTTTTAAAAAAAAAAATCTTTAAAATCTTTAAAAAATCCTTGAGAATTAAACTCTTAAAATGATTTAAATTTTCCAGTGAAACATGGCTTTTAAAAAACTTATCCTTGAGAACTCAACACTTGGAAACTTATCTAAATTTTCCAGCTAAAAATGGCTTTTAAGGAGCTTATCCCGGAGAATTCAACACTTAATTGTCCAAATTTTCCAATTAAATCTGGCTTTTAAGCAGCTCATCCTGGAGAATTCAACACTTAAAAACTTCTTTAATTTTCCAGTGAAATTCTGGCTTTTGAAAACTTATCCTTGAGAATTCAACACTTAAGAATTCAGCACTCAGAAACCTCTCTCGGTGTTCGAATTAAAGATGGTTTTTAAGAACTTATCCTTGAGAACTCAACACTCAGAAACTTCTCTAAATTTTCCAACTAAATATGGCTTTTAAGAAGTTTATCCAAGAGTATTCAACACTTGATTACCTAAATTTTCCAATGAAACCTGGCTTTTAAGGAGCTTCTCCTTGAGAACTCAGCACTCAGAAAGTTATTTAATTTTCAAATTGAAGATGCCTTTTAAGGAGCTCATTCTGGAGAACTCAACACTTAAAAACTTATTTAATCTTCCAAAGAAACGTGGTTTTGAAGGAGCTTCTCCTTGAGAAATCAACACTCAGAAAATTATTTAATTTTCAAATTGAAGATGCCCTTTAAGCGGCTCATTCTGGAGAACCCAACACTTAAAAACTTATTTAATCTCCCAGTGAAAATCTGGCTTTCCAGAAGCCCCTCCCTGCAGGCTCAGCACTCAGAAAGTTATTTAATTTTCAGATTAAACACGCCTTTTAAGCGGCTCATTCTGGAGAACTCAACACTTAAAAACATATTTAATCTTCCAAAGAAACGTGGTTTTGAAGGAGCTTCTCCTTGAGAACTCAACACTCAGAAAGTTATTTAATTTTCAAATTAAAGATGCCTTTTAAGCAGCTCATTCTGGAGAACCCAACACCCAGAAACTTATTTAATCTACCAATAAAAATCTGGCTTTCCAGCAGCCCCTCCCTGCAGGCTCAGCACTCAGAAACTTCTTTAATTTTCAGATTAAACATGCCTTTTAAGGAGCTCGTTCTGGAGAACTCAACACTTAAAAACTTATTTAATCTTCCAAAGAAACATGGTTTTGAAGGAGCTTCTTCTTGAGAACTCAACACTCAGAAAGTTATTTAATTTTCAGATTAAAGATGCCTTTTAAGGAGCTCATTCTGGAGAACCCAACACCCAGAAACTTATTTAATCTACCAATAAAAATCTGGCTTTCCAGCAGCCCCTCCCTGCAGGCTCAGCACTCAGAAACTTCTTTAATTTTCAGATTAAACATGCCTTTTAAGGAGCTCGTTCTGGAGAACTCAACACCTAAAAACTTATTTAATCTTCCAAAGAAACGTGGTTTTGAAGGAGCTTCTCCTTGAGAACTCAACACTCAGAAAGTTATTTAATTTTCAGATTAAAGATGCCTTTTAAGGAGCTGATTCTGGAGAACTCAACACCCAAAAACTTATTTAATCTACCAATAAAAATCTGGCTTTCCAGCAGCCCCTCCCTGCAGGCTCAGCACTCAGAAACTTCTTTAATTTTCAGATTAAACATGCCTTTTAAGGAGCTCGTTCTGGAGAACTCAACACCTAAAAACTTATTTAATCTTCCAAAGAAATGTGGTTTTGAAGGAGCTTCTTCTTGAGAACTCAACACTCAGAAAGTTATTTAATTTTCAAATTGAAGATGCCTTTTAAGGAGCTGATTCTGGAGAACTCAACACCCAAAAACTTATTTAATCTACCAATAAAAATCTGGCTTTCCAGCAGCCCCTCCCTGCAGGCTCAGCACTCAGAAAGTTATTTAATTTTCAGATTAAACACGCCTTTTAAGCGGCTCATTCTGGAGAACTCAACACCTAAAAACTTATTCAATCTACCAATAAAAATCTGGCTTTCCAGCAGCCCCTCCCTGATGGTTCAGCCCTCTTTTTAGGGGGGTGGGGGGTTACCTTTCCTGCCCCACCGGCAGCTCACCTGGATATTCCTCTTGAGGATCTCCCTGGAGAGCTGCACCTTGCCCGTGCTGGGGTCCACGCCGGCCAGGGGCACCACCACCTCGCCGATCACGTCGTCGCGGGAGAAGCGGTCGAAGCTGAGCACCAGGAAGTGCAGCACCAGGTCCTGCAGCTGGCTGTAGGGGATGCCGTAGAAGGTGAAGGTCTCGTCGAACACCGGCTCCA